CATTGAAGATGTGTCCTAGAGTGAAATATTAGAGTCCTGGCCCCTTCCTCTTTTGTTTGTCCTTGTGATGAGGTGAACAGGCCTTCTCCATCATGCTCTCTGCTATGATGCCACAGGTCCAAAGAAATAGGGCCATTTAACCATAGCCAGAAATCTCTGAAAGTATAAGCCAAAATTAACCTTTTCTCCTTTTAAGTTGATCATCTCAAGTATTCTGTCACAATGACTGTGCAGGGTGGGGCTCTTAAGAGTTCATAGTTGCCCAACTGACAGCTATCAAAAAAATTAAGACCTTCATTCAAGAGCTGCATGAAACTCCATTATAATAGCAGCTCCAGGAGGCTTGGAAGCAAATCTTGCCCTAGTGGAGCTTCTGATTCAGAAGCTGTGATTCAGACCTGTGTGGAGAGCCAGCCATTCTACACCTAGAGTTCTGACCTACAGAACTGTGAAATTAAATGAGTGCTCTTTTACACAGATAAGTTTGTGGTCATGTGTTACTCATCAGCAGAAAAGTATCACATGTAATAGTCTAATATATTGGGTAGTGACAGATGGCAGATGGTTTCCTTTCAGGTGATCGTTTGGGGCCTATGTGTGGCTCTGCTGTTGCCAAAGGATAGGACTCTATTCTTCTGGCCATTGGAAGAAGAGACAGTGGAAAGGGTACACTCTGTGTACTTCTAGAAGCTCTGATGTGGATACAGCAAACATCACTCACACAGACATTTCATTGGTGGGAACTAGTAATGGGATTCTGCCTAGGTGAAGGGGGTCCTGGTATTTATAATCCCAACCAAATAGCTTTCTTCCAGAAAATTCATATTGTGGAAGGGGGTTGAACATTTCTGACCCAGTCATGTTTTCATAGTTATGTGTCACATTCCAATACAATATGAAGACATTGTATATTCTATGTTCAGATACATAGTAAATTAGAATAAGGTTTATACTGGAACAAAAACAATGTGCTTGAATGTTGCACTCAATTTTAGAAGAATTACCAGATGTGACAACATTCTGGGTAGAGGATCTGAGCTCTTCCCTGCCCAGGGGTGTTCCTCCAGTATAAGCCACACCTTTCCCTCTGCCTTCTGGCTGAGACAGTGCAGGGAGACTCCTCCTTCTTCATTTACCAATGGGAGATGTATTTGCATGAAACCAACCTCTATCAGCCTCATGGCAGCATGACCTTCTCTTTCTCTCTTTCTGGATCCAAAACACAGCCCTAGCATCCCTACTGCCTCACACTCAACTACTCATCAGTGAAAAACATAGCAACCCTTACCCTCAGCACAGCAACACCCATGGTTTTTGTGAAAGATTGGCTAGCTTAAGGAAATTTCCTTCCATGAAGCTAGGCATTAAAGTGCTGTATTCATCCACAGCAGTGGGAGCCCAAACAACTTCTTGCTTGGGAACAATTAAGGTTAGTGAAATTGTTTCTAGGGAGGTGATGAAAAAGTGAGTAGAGCTCACTACTTGCTACCGGGTTTGGTTTGATTTGCAAGGTAAATTTAGTTGAATTTTAAACTTCTGAGGCTGAGAGAGAAGAAAATCAATCTGCTTTCTGTGAACTTAAGGAATATTCAAGATGGCATGGATAACATGGGATTTTTCTCTATGATCACCCTTATTGATAAGGCTGCCCTCCTTATTTGCTCTCATAAGTCTAGGCCATGGGAAGCTGGAAGAGATTGATTGTATAGTCAGCAGATGTGCTTATGTTCCAGAAAGGGACAGGGAGGGGTATGGTGAAGACAAATAGGGAGAAGAACTGCTGATAAGACCAAATAAGGGAAAATGAATTCCTAAGGAAGGCCAGAAATTCTCAGGAGGTATGACACTGTGATGAAATGGAATATTCCAGATGCTGTGGAGACAGCCAGTGCTTCATTCCTTCCTCTTCAAAAGCCCCATCCAAATTTGTTCAGTATATTACTTTTCAGTGACATAGTCCTTGTTCCTCCCCAGATCCTTATCTCTCTGCCATCCTCTTCCTCTGTCTTCCCTTTCCCTCCTCACTTCCATTCTTCCTTACTCCCTTTCTGTCACTTTCCCCTACTTTCTCTCTCTCTCTCTCTCTCTCTCACTCTCTCTCTCAGTCTAGTCCTGTTCTAAAATCTGAAAAGGATATAATACAACAAGTTATAGGGACTACTGTTAGCCCCATGTGAAAAGAACTGACCCAAACACAGAAAGATGCTGGAGGTTTGATAACTTCCTAGGTGACATGGGATAACTAAAGGGACTCTGATTTTTCTATTGCCTAGAATAAATAAAAGAGAAAATAATGAGATAAAGCCCACTTATGTAAGATGATAGATAGCTTTTACATTGAATAGCCCCACTCTGTCCCTCCGAACATATTTAACTGTCACTTTCCTGTAAGCCCCTAGAGCAAAATTAGGATGCAAACTCTTTCCTGAACACTGTCAAACTTTTACGACTCTATAACTTATCATATTACATAACACCCTTACTGCCTTATCATTTCTTTCCTTGCCTAAAACATTTACTCATCCTTCAAAACCCAGACCAGCTGTTCTGTAAAGCCTCTACTGATTCACAGGTTGAGTTAGTTATTTTTCAGTCTCAATGCCCATAGCAAATATTCCTATTGTAGCATTATATTACATCTCATTATTATTATTATTATTATTATTATTGTCTCTTCTACTAGACTCTAGTGCCCAAAGAGAAGGGATGGGCTTAAACCCTATCCTTGCCACCTAGCTTGTGTTTATGTCAGAAAAGCAACACTGATTACAACCTGTGTAACATAATATCAAGAATATTAACTTAACCAAATGTTTTAGAATTTAATATACATATTATTTAAATATACTTTTCCTATGAAGAATCTAACTAGTGATTTAAACATGTCTCAAATATAGGAAAAAAGCAACAAACATGTTTAAACTTCTACCATGGAAAGCGAAAGTGAAGTCCACTTTTCCCCTCTGTCTCTTTGAAGGTCTCTCCCTTTTTCTGCCTTATAAACAGAATATGGCAAACTAGTCCATGAATTTCTTTAATATTTTTCATATATACAACATTGGGATAAAGACTTCTCTTTCCTTTACACTCTATTCATATTTATAAGAAATGATAAAAATTACTATAAATTTAGTTTAATGGGCCATGTTGAAATTGTCACCATTATTCAGACTTTGGTCCAACATTAATCATACGTACACATATAATCCAAATCAGACTTTACACAATTTTATGTATGTTGAGCCTCCTCAGTTTCTGACATTTTTCACTTTATTTGTAAATTCAAGCATATCCCTTTGGAAAATGTTATTTGGCATCAAATTTTTAAAATAATGTACATAGACACGTGAATATGTGTGTACACCTTATGTACGTGTGACTGTTCTATGTATGGAGTCTGTTATAGAGAGGGAAAGAAGAAGAGAAATAGAGACTTATTTATGCACAATGTACGTATTGTTGATATATAAACACCCTGGCTCTGTGGTCCATAACAGCCGTTTCCTCATCCGCTGAGGCCAGCTGATGGCTCTCAGATAATGAGAGCGAACCATGCAACTGGCCCGAAGGAACGCTAATGCAGCCACTAAGCTGCAAACGCTCTTAGCCAGTGAGCACTCCGCCAGGCAATTCCCAGTTCAGTGTGCTCTATAAATTGTGGTGTTTACTCTGTTGGGATCTCTCCTTTCATTTATTTTGTGCTCTGGTGAACAATTTGGAGCCATAATGACTGACAAATTGTGCAAGCGATAGTGTTGGATCTGTCATAAAGAAACAAACAACATTAAGCTGGAAGTTGAAAGGCACGTTTTGCCATGGCTTGAGGCTTTTTTCCCCCCAAGGAAATGGAGTTGTATTAAAGATCAGTGAGCCCTTAGGAATGGACTCAAGCCTTTTGACATTGTTGGGGGTATTCTAGACGTCTTTTCTTCCTGGGCTCATTGACCTGGTGTGCTCAGGTATGTCTGCACCTTAGGGATTTGGAGGAAAGTATGACTTGCAGTGCTGCACCTCCTGAGGAATTTGTTAAAATGACCACTGAAATGTTCCCAAGCTGCTGCTTTCACATCCCTTCTGTGGCCACCTGCTTTCCACTGAAGCAGGGCATACTTGCATATCACACTGTATCCACTTAACTGGTTCATCTCATCTGCATTTCAAATGAACTCATACAGGGCTTAAGTTTTCAGTTTTTTCTTGCTCTTGCTACCTTTTTTGGAAGTGAGAAAGAAAATCATGAGGGTTTTTTTTTTTTCATTTGAAACATTTTTTTTTTTTCTTAAGAGAACTAGGCTCAGTAGGTACATATTAGAATTGAAAAAGCTGGGGACAGGAAGGAGCCCCAATAATTTGAAGAGGTTCCCAGGTGGTTTTAATGGATGGTCAGGCTTGAGAGTCACTATTCAGTAGAAAGTATGTACCCACTTAGAATTCAAGGAGTCAATATTTCACTTGAAGTGCTTATAAGAAAAGTTTCCCCAGCTGACTGTGGATTGACATTTTCCCCTTCCCCCAAGTCAGAATTATTTTTCAAATGAATTCAGATGATAATGTCTGATAATTTGACCCAGAATTCTCATATGGGAGGGATATCCTACAAGTGTGGGATTTTGTGCTTATTCAGAGAATACTTATTAAGTATGCCTGGAATTACTTTCTCCTTACCAACTGTATTCTTTCTCTCCAATGTTGAATGAAAGTTGCTATTGAAAGAGATTAAAGGTGATTTGCCTAAATCCTGGATGTCTCTGTATTTGACAAGGAGGTGAAGGGTGAGGATCTAAGCAGCTCTGTCTACTTAGGAAAATCAGGAAGTTTAGAAGCTATAAAAGGGCAGCTTTACTGCATGACAGTGGGTATTGAGCCAGGTATCTTCATTAATGATTAACCACAGAGCTAAATTGACACCGGTCAAGGAAATCGAAGCCCAGCACCAGTAGAAGCTTCTGCATTAGTTTCTACTCCAAAGTCATTTAGGAAATGTTTATTTTTCTCCATAGGTTCGAACCAGTGTCCGACCTGAGCACAAGGATTCCCCGCCAGAAGTTGGGGTAGGTGTTCCTTTTATTCTCATAAGGCACACACATCATTTCCAAATTAATCGTTTGGATTTTCTCTGGTCTCCTGCCTGGTAGCTGACAAATGCAGTTGAGTTAAATTAGCAGGGTGTGATCTGAAGAGGCACAGTCACATATTTGCTGAATTGCATGGAATTCATTCCTTGTCTCCTGAAAATCATTCTTCCTCAATGAATTCATAATTAGCTCATCTGGCTAGAGAGGAACTAGAGATTCATCTCTGGTTGCTCCACAGGTGGCTGAAATGCAATTCTTTTGTAGCCAAATTCCTGGAGCAACAGGAATGTTGCTGGGGAAATGACAGATGTGAGCTGCACCACTGCAGGGGAAGGGCAGGGAACGGGCCATGGAACTATGATGTTTTCTGTTCCTGCCATTTAAACACTATAATGCAGGTGAAGAGAGAGGCTAGTGCTAGCTTGCAGTCCAGTGTTGAAAAAATCCTGCTGAGGTTTCTCTGCTGCATCTGAACTGTCATATTTCCAGCCTTCAGAAGTTGGAAGAGCAGGACAGTACCAGGTGCTTTCTGCTTACACAAGGCTAGACTTGGAGGTGGTAGCTCCTGAAAGCTATAGCCCAGCAGGCTGGGTCTCTGAGATCTGTACATTTAGAGAGGAAACAAAAGTCCCCAAGTAATTGGAGTAGAAGAGGACCTGGGGCTGTGTCAGCTGAAAGGCCTATTTGAAATCCTGCAAACCCTGCACACCCTTCCTGCAGTGTGTGAACTGTTCATTTCTCCTCATTGAAAACAGCCTTTTCCAAATTGCCAAGGGAGCAGTGCAAAAAGAAGCACCAAAGTAGGGGAGTTGAGTCGATTGAGAGTACCAGTTGTCTGAGCATCTGCTAGTGAAGGAGAAGGAAGGGTTACTAGGGCCTTACTCTCTCATGCATCACACAGGTGTCCAGTTTCTCCCTGGGGTTGGAATGAATGACTCCCTTGGACTCAAGTGAGTCTTTGTGCTTTGTTTCTTGACTGCATCTTCAATCTCTCATGCTGCTGTCACTCCCACTGCCAGACACAGTCCTTTCTTTGGTCCCCCAAAGAGCCTAGTAAGCTCCTCAAAGCCCTGGGCCTCCACAGCTACAGGCACATGACTCTCGCTGGGCCAGGGCTGCTGCTCCCCAATTGTTCCCTCTTGCTGCTCAGGGCTCAGCTCTAAGCCTCTTGCTGACTACCACACCCCAGACACCTCCTCAAAAAGGCTCTCATCTCACCCTTTCCATAGCCTAACTAAAACCAAAGATCCTTTGAAATTTATAGCTATCCATATAACTTGTACATTATTTTACCAGGAGGTTCCTTTATTTATTGAGATTCAAGTAGGATGAGCTGGTTTAATTTTTCTCCTCTAATTGCCTTTCACCCCAGCTGCTCCTGTTCAATGTCCCTTCTGCTGGAGGCTTTTCTGACATCTTGACTTAAATGTATAAATTTCTCCCTGTTTTTTTCTCTCACTCACGATCTTGGGAATTCATCTCATTTATGCTAAACTTCAATTCTCTTGTCTGATTTTGTTTCTTCTGCTTTCTTCTCCCACCTTTTCCCTCTGCAAGCTAAACCTGTCTGTGACTCTAGCTACTGGCAGTGTAGGGTCTCACCCCTGTTCTCTCCCTTCCTCTTATTCTGAAATGCCGACTCTACTATGGGGTCAACCTTTGGGGGGTCTTGTCCGGTTTTCCCCACCGTTTATTTTCCTGCCATGAAGGATGTAGTTCTCCACCACCTGCCCACGCCTCATACTTTCTTGCTGCTGAGATACACCACTTCAGCACATGGCTCCAGACGAACCATTTTCTGTGCTATTTGACTTCCGTGAAACTCCCCCGTATTTGCCATGCCATGTGGAAGAAATGAAGGCTGGCTTACTGGTGTTCCTTTCTCTCAGCTCAGTCCTCTTTCTGCTGACACTTTCTACAGACTCCAGCAGCATTGGGCACTAGATAGTCCATGATTCCCAAAGGAGAGACAATCTCCACACACTAAAGGAAGTCAAGATAGTTTAGACACCTCTAGCCTTTTTTCTTTTTTTTCATTTTTATTAGCATTCATTGTACAGGAGGAATTCATTCTGATAATTCACAATAGCCTTACATTGCACATTGGTTAGATTACCCCCACCAGTTCCCCCCACTCACCTCCTTCCAGCCCTACTTAAAGCAATTGCAAGAGGTTTCATTGTTCTATTTTCATATATGAGTATGTATATGAAACACATCATCTTACCTTCATCTCCTCCATTCACCAACCCTGCCACAAGTACCCCCCCATACCTATTTTACAATCCCGTCTTTCATCTTTCAATCCAAAGTCAATGTTCAAAGGGGATTTTTCATGTATCCCAGCTGTAGTCACCTCCAGTCTTTACAAGTGATTTTTTTCTTAGGCCCTGGCTCCCTTTGACCAGAAGGATAGAGGTATCTTCTTGGAGTTAATTGAGAGATTGCCTTGTTTCCTAAACAGTACACCTCTCAAATTCCTGACCTTCTCTCTTCTAGTTTTGTCTTTATATTAAGTGAATGTCTTATGGTTACTCATGGGCCAGTTTCTCTAAACTGGGTCCTGAATCTGTTATGGTGTGTGTTTGGGTTATTATGTTCTCATCTTTCACAAAATCTCAGCCATACTTCAAAAGTCCCTTGACATTTTGTGACATGCCTATGGTATCAATCAGGAAGTCACTCAGAAATGAATATAAACTGACAAATGGTGACTTAAAACTAATGATTTAGATTTTCTTGGTTTTAGGAAAATTTACTAGGGTTTATCTACTCAAAAATAACCTGGTACAACCAGACTGATCACTTCTCTGCTCTTCCTCCTCTTTCATAGGGTGTTGTCCATTCTGGCCACAGTACCTCTAGGTATCCAATTCCTGGTTGGGAGAAAAATAAAGAGCGAGTAGCTCAAATTGGGCAACCCTGTATTTTCAGTTATGGGAAACAATTCTGGGAACCCTCACTTGGTATACTGTCCCTGACTTATTACAAGGGAGAGTTGAGTCTCCAGCTAGAAAAGATTCTGAATACAATTCTTATTTAAATAAAATCATGGTGCCATTAGTAACACAGTGTGGGCAGTGTGGATTTTAGGTAGGCAATTGGTAATGTCTCCACACTCCTAGACATTACACTCCCTGAGAGCAAAGTCTGTACAAGTTTCTCACTCTAATATTCCTAGCTTTGTGCCTGAAAATTAGAAAATGGTGATACATATTTTAAAGGAATCAGAAAGCATCCCATGATTTTGGTTTGTTAACCACTTTATTTTTTTTGTTCATTCATTTGTTTTTGTTTTGTTTGTTTTGTTTGCAGTGTAGGGTTTAACCTCAAGCTTCATGCTCTACCACTTGAGCCATTTCCCTAAACCTTTTTGCTTTTAGTTATTTTTCCAGATAGGGTCTCATGTTTTTGCCTGGGGTCAGCTTCAGAAGACACAGTCCTCCTACCTAGGCTTCCCAGAAGCTGAAATTACAGGACCGCGCTACCATGTCTGGCTCTCCTTTGTATTTTTCAGAGTCACCAGAATGAAAAGTGGTTTTATTAATGTATATCCATGCACTAATATGTTAAAAAATCTAGCACATTTTATAACATATTAGAACTCAAGTAAACTGACACATGATCACAGAACCAAATTTCATGCATAAAAAGGATGAGCCTCGATGAGAGCAAGTTAGCATGCCTCATCTGTTAATATCCTCATGGTACACGGTATGTTGGGTAGAGAAGCTTTAACACCTTTTGAGTGTCTGTGAAATACAACTGGCTAATCTATATCCTGCCAGTTAATCCTCAGACCACTGCTTTGAGTCCTCCAAGAGGGTTTGAGGGTTTAAGTCATTCACCAAGGACAGATAGCTCTTTGTGGCTATCTGTGCCAGGAGTTCAGTATTCCAACTGAAAATAAGCTAATTACTGTCACTGTGAATCCTTAAACGTGTTCCATATAGGTCTCTGCATTCTTAATCAACAGATACTGCAGGCACCCAACCCTTTCTTGATGACTTAGTCAAGAAGAGACCAATTTATGCCCTTATTATGAAGTATATTCATAATAAAGATGGAATTTTGTAGTAAATGACTCTATCATAAAGATACTATGAATGTTTTCTTTCAGTTATTTAACTTCTAATACATTTCCTCCCAATCATTTTCTCTTGCTGATTTTTTTTTCAATGGCAGTAGTTCATGTATTCTTTTCCCCTTATTATGGGGCAAGGAATTATACAACCATTTCTGTTATGGTGGACAGTGAAGAAAACTGTATCAGGGCTATGGAAAAGGGCCTGTCATAGAATGTGTATGTGGGATGTTGTATATCAACTTTGGCTCCTCCAAGACTTTTTAAAACTTACACCATAGATCCTCTGTGTAGTTTTATGAGAATAGGTACACTATTATTGACATATCTATTAGACCTCTAAACTAGCAGTATTCATTCAAAATAAAATGTGTGTGCCACTAAAGACATGTCACATGTGTAATTTTAAATTTCCTACTAGCCCTGCTTTTAAAAGAGTGGAAAGAAATGTTAGTTTTAGTGATAAGGTAGATAATACATTTAACCCAAAATATGCAAAATATTATTTCAAAATGTACTCAATACAAAACAATGTTGTAGTTCATGTTTTTTTTTATAAGTACTATAAATCCAGTGGATATTTTACACTTTGAGAATATCTCAACTTGGAGTAGCCACATTTTAGGTGCTTAAGATAGTGACTTATCTTTTGGGTAAGTAGCTCTGGACAGTACTTGGAAAAAATCAAAAAGGACCATGCAACTTACAGTATAAAGGAAACCTTGCCTTTGCATAAAGACTATGTGAGATGCACATAAGTTATGGAGGTTTGGCCAGGTGGTGGCAATGTGTATGGGGTTGTACCCCTCTAACTTCCTTAAAAGTGACCAGGGAGCCAGTGTGGATCTCAGCATTGAGGTATCAAACCCTAGTGAGCACAATGGGTATCTGT